ATCCAGACCATGATCGCAGCGCAAGATTGCGAGCTCCTGAGCGAGGTATTGGACGTGGAGCTGCGGATCCAAGAATTTTGCAAAGGCATTCTGAATCTGGAGACGCTGGCCTCGTGGCTCTCCTCGATTCTGAAGCTGCACTGCGCCCCCACGAGGGATGAGTGGGTTGATGAGATGTACAGGAATCTGAGCGACGGGAGCCGGAAAAACGATATCAGACTAATCGTACAGGGCATGCGCAGCCTACTTGGCGTTTTGGAGGCCATGAAGCTCGACGTTGCAAACCACATAATCCGCTCTTTGCGCGAGCGAATAATCGACGATACGGTAAATTTCTTACAGCGCCATTTTCGCGGAAAGCTGCAGGTGGATTTCGACATCGCCGACGCCAAAACATGGTACTGGAACGCCTCACGGCAGTATTCGGCTATCAGCACCACGCCTGAGACCCGACAGGGGCTCGGCGATATGGCCGTCTTTTTCTATGGGCTTTCGGCCATGGTGCTGCCCACTAGGTCCGCGACGATACTCCCATCGACCTTCATTTTCGATAAAGGCCGCCTGCAAAAGCTGAGGTCTGACGCTATGGACGCAGTCTGCCTAAACATATGCATGGAGTACCAGTTGAATTCGGCGCCAGAGGCGGCTGGGGAGTCCATCAAATCGGCGGTGTACGCATCCCTCGTTGCCCTGCTTCGGACTATCCAACCGGCGGTATCTCCGCAAGAAAAGTGGCAAATACTTGTGCCAAAGGTAGCGGTGGAAATTAGGCTTTTCAACAAATTACCCAAAGATATGCTCCCGTATATCGAACAAAACCTTTGGTCACGGCTTCAAACCAACGTGTTTGTGGAGGCCGAAAAATCTTTCCACCAGGACCTATTCGGCGAGCTGGCAGACCGCGTCCGCAAGTTCAGGAATCTCTCGGAACTAGACCTATTTTCGACCGCGACCGGAAACCGGCTTTACAGCGTACAGGACGGGGCCTTCGAAACTAAGAGATTTTTTCTCGATGGTGACGCGGCGGCGCCGGGTCAGGGCCCCTCTCACTTGCATGGCGTCGAAAACATGGCAACACGCCTGGCGCACCTGGGCCTGCTGCACTGGCAGGTCTGGGCAGACATCGCCTACGTCGAGGCCTAGCTTGTGTCCTCTGTCGAGGTAGTTAGACAGAGAGACGCCTCTCATCTCTGCCAAAAAGCCAGCTGATGGAAGGATTGCGGGAGTCCTTGTAAGGAGACTACCCTAGATAGGAACAACGATACACTTTTTGGTGCTCAGAAAGTCTGATACCGAGGACCGCTAAAGCCACGGATCAGATGCCCGGCATATCGGTTGACAGGCCTTACAATTTCAGCTGCACGAATTAGCACCCGCCCCAGGTTCAGCAAATAAATCTGCCCACACTTGCGTGCTCGCCCATTTGAATGAACTTGGCTAGTGACAAAAAATAGATTTTGGTAGCTGGCATTGTAACGATCGGCACAAGTCACTCCCAATGCACTACACACCCCCAAAAGGGCACGATTCAGGACTGTCTGCACAGTCCCTGAAACTGACTTATGAAGGTGCTAGGACGGTGCGTGCGGGGTTGTACGCCACGCTCGTCACAGGCATCACCCCTGAGCACTGAAGCGGGGCTCAGCCAGCGACGGCACATCCGGGCCCTTCCACCACCCCTCTAGGCGCCAAAAACGTCACTAGCCCCACCTGTCAGCCGCAAGGCACCGTTACGGCGCGGCGTGCCCTCCGTGCACTTGCAGCCTTGTCTCTCGTGCGCGTTGGGTGTATGAGACCCCTATCGCAATCAGAACAGCGGTCCTGATTGTCCTGGCTTTTTAGTAGAGATGGGAGGGGTCTCTCTTTGTCTAATCGCCTTGACAGGCACTCTGGATCAGCCGCAAGACATTCTCTCTGAAGGATCTACAGGGCTCATGTACTATAAGGGCAGCCTGTGACACAGAAATTCCAGAGAAGTAGAGAGAATACAGAACAATCTTTTTGGTGCTGAAAAAGTCTGACACCTGGGCCGTCACATCTTCCGCATGTTATGGCGTGGCGGGCCCTTGCGGGC